CGCGGGCCCCGGATGGGCTCCGCGGGCCGTGGCGCGGTAGGGATCTGGCGGGGACGCGTGGCGCGCCTCGATTGGATGTGGGCGGCGGCGCGGTGACGTGGCGGCGTCTCATTGGCCGAAGCGACGTGGCGGTGGCGGTGGACACGTCCGACGCGGAGGCGGACATGTCCGGCGGCGGGGAGGAGCGGGGCTAGGGTTTGGACTGCGGGATTTCAGGGAGGATCACATATATATATAGGTAGAGGGAGCTAGGAGAGTCCAAATGAGGAGCGGTTTTCGGCCACGCGATCGTGATCGAACGACCGAGAGCATGGATGGGAGTTAGATGGGTTTTGGGCCACTTTGGAAGGGGTGTTGGGCTGCACACAAAAGAGGGCTTTACGGTTACCCGGTTAACCGTTGGAGTATCAAGCGACTTCCAAATGGCACGAAACTTGACAGGCGGTCTACCGGTGCTATACCAAGGCCGCTTGGCAAGACTCGGTCCATTCCGAGAACGTTTAACACCCGCACATGAAAAGAGGCAAAAGGGGAACGCCGGAGGGCATAGGAGTGCCGGATTGCAAAACGGACAACGGGGAAAATGTTCGGATGCATGAGATGAACACGTATGCAAAATGAGATGCACAAGATGACATGATAAAATGCAACACGCAAGCAAATGACATGGCAATGACGGCGAATAACTGGCAGACACCTGGCGCATCGGATCCGGGGCGTTACATGCAAGTGGGAGACTGAAGGAAATATGCCCTAGAGGCAATAACAAAGTTATTATTTTTTCCTGATATCATGATAAATGTTTATTATTCATGCTAGAATTGTATTAGCCGGAAACATAATACATGTGTGAATACATAGACAAACAGAGTGTCACTAGTATGCCTCTACTTGACTAGCTCGTTAATCAAAGATGGTTATGTTTCCTAGCCATAGACATGAGTTGTCATTTGATTAACGCGATCACATCATTAGGAGAATTATGTGATTGACTTGACACATTCTGTTAGCTTAGCACTTGATCGTTTAGTATATTGCTATTGCTTTCTTCATGACTTATACGTGTTCCTATGACTATGAGATTATGCAACTCCCGTTTACCGGAGGAACACTTTGTGTGCTACCAAACATCACAACATAACTGGGTGATTATAAAGATGCTCTATAGGTGTCTATGAAGGTACTTGTTGAGTTGGCGTATTTCGATATTAGGATTTGTCACTCCGATTATCGGAGAGGTATCTCTGGGCCCACTCGGTAATACATATCACTATAAGCCTTGCAAGCATTGTAACTAATGAGTTAGTTGCGGGATGATGTATTATGGAACGAGTAAAGAGACTTGCCGGTAACGAGATTGAACTAGGTATTGAGATACCGACGATCGAATCTCGAGCAAGTAACATACCGATGACAAAGGGAACAACGTATGTTGTTATGCGGTTTGACTGATAAAGATCTTCGTAGAATATGTGGCAGTCAATATGAGCATCCAGGTTCCGCTATTGGTTATTGACCGGAGACATGTCTCGGTCATGTCTACATAGTTCTCGAACCCGTAGGGTCCGCACGCTTAAAGGTCGGTGACGATCGGTATTATGAGTTTATGTGATTTGATGTACCGAAGGTAGTTCGGAGTCCCGGATGAGATTGGGGACATGACAAAGAGTCTCTAAATGGTCGAGACGTAAAGTTCGATATATTGGACGACTCTATTCGGACATCAGAAGGGTTCCGAGTGATTCGGGTATTTTTCGGAGTACCGGGGAGTTACGGGAATATGGGGAATAAGTGTTGGGCCTTAATGGGCCTTAGTGGGAAGGAGAGGCAGCAGCCAGGAGGTGGCGCACGCCCCTCCCAAGCCCAGTCCGAATTGGACAAGGGGTTTGGGGCGCGGCCCCCTCTCCCTTCCTTCTCCCCTCACCTCCTTTCCCCCCTTCTCCTAGTTGGACTAGGAAAGGAGGAAACCTACTCCTACTAGGAGTAGGAATCCTACTCCCTTGGCGCGCCCCTCCTAGGGCTGGCCTCCTCCTCCCTTGCTCCTTTATATACGGGGGCAGGGGGGGCACCTCAGGACACAACAATTGATCATTGATCTCTTAGTCGTGTGCGGTTCCCCCCTCCACCATATTCCACCTCGGTAATATTGTAGCGGTGCTTAGCCGAAGCCCTGCGTCGGTAGCATTATCAACGCCGTCATCACGCCGTCGTGCTGATGGAACTCTCCCTCAAAGCTCGACTGGATCGGAGTTCGAGGGACGTCATCGAGCTGAACGTGTGCTGAACTCGGAGGTGCCGTATGTTCGGTACTTGGATCGGTCGGATCGTGAAGACGTACGACTACATCAACTAAGTTGTGCTAACGCTTCCTCTTTCGGTCTACGATGGTACGTGGACACACTCTCCCCTCTCATTTCTATGCATCACCATGATCTTGTGTGTGTGTAGGAATTTTTTTGAAATTACTATGTTCCCCAACACCAATAAGGCCCATAGACTCCCCGCGGGGTTTCAGTAACCCCCCGGTACTACGGTAAATGCCCGAACTCACCCAGAACCATTCCGATGTCCAAACATAGCCTTCCAATATATCGATCTTTATGTCTTGACTATTTCGAGACTCCTCGTCATGTCCGTGATCACATCCGGGACTCTAAAAAACCTTCGGTACATCAAAACACATAAACTCATAATACCGATCGTCATCGAACGTTAAGCGTGCGGACCCTACGGGTTTGAGAACTATGTATACATGACCGAGACTCGTCTCTGGTCAATAACCAATAGCGGAACCTGGATGTTCATATTGGTTCCTACATATTCTACGAAGATCTTTGTCGGTCAAACCGCATAACAACATATGTTGTTTCCTTTGTCATCGGTATATTACTTGCCCAAGATTCGATGGTCGGTATCTCAATACCTAGTTCAATCTCTTTACCGGCAAGTCTCTTTCCTCGTTCCGTAATGCATCATCCCGCAACTAACTCATTAGTCACACTGCTTGCAAGGCTTATAGTGATGTGCATTACCGAGAGGGCCCAGAGATACCTCTCCGACAACTGGAATGACTAATCCTAATCTCGATATATGCCATCTCAACAAACACCATCGGAGACACCTGTAGAGCATCTTTATAATCACCCAGTTACGTTGTGACGTTTGATAACACACTAAGTGTTCCTCCGGTATTCAGGAGTTGCATAATCTCATAGTCATAGGAACATGTATAAGTCATGGAGAAAGCAATAGCAACAAACTAAATGATCATCGTGCTAAGCTAATGGATGGGTCAAGTCAATCACATCATTCTTTAATGATGTGATCCCGTTAATCAAATGATGACTCGTGTCTATGGCCAGGAAACTTAACCATCTTTGATTCAACGAGCTAGTCAAGTAGAGGCATACTAGTGACACTCTGTTTGTCTATTCACACATGTACTAAGTTTCCGGTTAATACAATTCTAGCATGAATAATATACATTTATCATGATATAAGAAAATATAAATATCAACTTTATTATTGCCTCTAAGTCATATTTCCTTCAGTTAGATCGGTTCCTTGTTGAGGTGGTTCTATCTCACTTGAGTTGTGGATCATGGTGGCCATTGATATGGGTCTTCGTGAGGGTTCCTCTCTACAAATATGAAGGCTACTGCCAACTACTTTTTCTGGCGAGGTTGCGTGATGCAGCCGGAAGGCTCCTTTGTGGGTTTTGGCAGCTCTCACTCTGACCAGTTTGCCTTCGGTGGTGACAGGCAATCTATATATGGACGGCGGCTTGACATAGAGGGTACGGTTGTGCATCAGCGACAGTGAGATTTCATCCCAGTGCATGTAGCTGATGGGATTGCGAAAAAGTGGTGGTGAGAACACATGATTGACTTTATTTTGGTGGTACTTATTGAGTACACGGTCTCGAGCTCCGGGGGTGAAAACCCTAGGTCTGACCTGAGTGAGTTATACCTGGCAATCAGAATGTTTTTACGTCATTACCTTGTTGAAGTCAATGCTCAGATATGGTCAAACTTGTTCTTCAGTGTGAGAACTTAGAATCTGATCTCTGGTCGTTACGATGACGTTTGAGCGTTGTTCCTTTCCTAAAGGTGTTGCTGATGAAGACCATTATTGCCTTCGTGGGGTCAAGATATGGTTGATGTGGGTATGATCGTTGATGTAGTTTGTTTGTGTTTGATTTTTCTTTTTCCTGGCATAGCCATAATTTAGGTCTGGTATAATTTTGCTCTTTGCCGACTTGCTTTTTTGGTGTGTGTGCATTGATATTGACTATGTGCATCCTATATATACAAAGGCCAGGTAAGTGCTTGCTCGGTCTGTTTATATACATTTTAATGCATCATTTTGAGTCAATGAAATGCACCCATTATGAAAAAAAAAACAGTATCGTACAGAGGAAAGAAGCAAAATCTTTGGCGTGTCATGCTTTTTAGTCCTACTACTATCCGATCGGTGACTAGATCGATACGATCTACAGCACTCATATACATGAGGGAGGTACGAGCATGCCGCCGGCGATACCACCGGCGACGTTTTCGCACCGCGACTCTGTGGCGACGCCGCGCTTGACGTACGTCAGGTCGATGTCCCTGAGCTCCAGTCCATGGCACGGGCTCGCGCCGCTGCACGACAGCTTCACCGCGACCTGGGTCGCCGACACGCCCCTGATGTTCTTGAACTTTACATCGCTTATCTTCACCACGGACGGCCGCTGCGCCTGCATGAATAATTCTGTTAGGGTAAAACCGTAAGATCGGTGTTTGGATTTGACAAGAAATTAACAGCTGTGGTTCTCACCGATTCATGGCGGCAGGAGCTGGAGCTGTAGGGGCAGTACTCCTGGTCGATGATGATGGGGTTCCGGACCTTCCTCATGACGATGTCCTCGAAGACGAGACCGGACACGACGGAGCCCGGACGGAGCCCGCCGCGCCAAGTCTTGATGCGTACGCCGTTGGCGGTGCCGGCGAGGGTGCAGTTGGACACGCGCAGCCCGCGCACGTCCTCCTCGCCTGGGTGCCTCCCGAGGCTGCCCACGCTGATGCCGTGGCCGGGTCCGCAGGACACCCCGGACACGGTGATGTCGGCGGTCCCCGGGCCGACGGAGATGCAGTCGTCCCCCGTGGCGATGGCCGTGTCGGTGATGCGCACGTTGGAGGAGCCCTGGATGTGGACGCCGTCCGTGTTGGGGCTGTCCCGCGGCGCCCGGATGGTGACGCGATGGATGGACACGTCCTGGCTGCCGATGATGATGACGTGGAAGAACTTGCTGTCCAGCGACGTCACCCCCGTGATGGTAACGTTCCTCACGCGCCCGAGCTTTATCGACTGCGGGTGCCGGAGCAGAGTGAAGAAATGGTTAAGGAGAAGTTCTATCATGTTACGATGTCGGCCGAGCAGCTCAGTTAAGACTTAAGAGTGAGACAGCGAGAAATTAGCGCGGCTTACGACGGGGAGGGGCTTGCAGTTCGGATTCGTTGGGCACTGGTTGAGGTGCCACGACGACGCGCCGCGGCCGTCGAATGTGCCGCCGCCCGTGACGAGCAGCCCGTCGATGCTGGCGAAGTTGATCCACTCGTGGCTGCCCCGAAACGCGGCCAGGTCGTCCGGTGCGCGGAGGTCGCCGGCGAGGCGCACCTGCATGTAGCCCTTGCACGGACCGCGGAAGACCACTGGCTGGAGCCGGTACTCGCCCTTGGGGACCACGACGGCCGGCCTCCCCGGCGACGCGCACGCCTTCATCCACGCCCTTATGAAAGCCTGCAGAGAAGGCAGCCCTGACTTGCAAATTCCTCGTGGCACGAATGCATGGTTAAGCCGCGACAATCGATTACCTTTGAGTCATCCGTCTCTCCGTCGGCAATGGCGCCGAAGTCCATAACGTCGAACACCTGGCGTCCGGCATGAGCGATCTCCAGGCACCACCTAGCCGAGATCATGAAAAACAGAGCAACCAGGGGAAACGCCATGTCCGATCTCCTATGGAGAAACAAACTCATCACGCGATGAGCATCACAAGCAGAGCATGTATGTCTCGCCATTTTATAATCGTACGAGCTCGAGAGCATCAGATGCGCGCAACTGCTGCAGGCGCAAAGGCACCTGGGCGTTCGGTTATGCTTGGCGCTCTCATTCCCATAACGTATTCTTGAAAGTGTATGATTGAGTAGTGTTGTTTGTTAGGCAATTACTGAAGAAAGAACTAAAGAAGTGGTGCTGTTAGTTAGGCTGCTGCTCTTGCCATGAGCCCACGTTTCGTGGCTAGATTGTCTATGGCATCATTAGCAGCTGTGGGTCAACGACGAAACGACAGTATGTGCACTTCGGAGGAAACACAAGACCTTTGGTCAGACTATCTGTCGACAAGCGTCAACATCTGTTCTTGCTGATGGTGATGGATCGAATCTTGACTCTGGGGATGAAAATCCCGAAACCGATCTATGGTTGCACTCATCACCATGGGCGTCCGTGCATGGTTTCCTTCTTGTAGCCTTAGCCTAGGAGTTGTAGAGCATAATTGGTTTGCTATTAACATTTGGCATTGTTAATATTTGGCAAGCCAACATTTGGCAAAATCAGAAGTTGCCAATATTTGGCAACTTTTTGTGAGATTGGCAACGAGAATTGGCAAGCAACCAATGTTTAGCCAATATTTAGCAGTTGCCAAAATTTGGCACGCCAATTTTTGGCATCAAACCAATTATGCTCTACTTTTCGGTTTGTTTTTGTCTTTCGGAAATGTGAACGCCCACACGTGTGGGTATTTGCAGATCGCCCACACGCCTCCATCACCACTCATTTTGCCACGTATGAATAGATGACATCAGCAGATTTTTTTTTGAATTTCAGCTTAAAAATGTTGTATCTCCTAAATAAAAAAGTGAACTAAAAATCCGTTTTCACCATTAAATCCGTCTCGACGAGATCTTCAAAACTAGACCCCATGTTGATATGTTTCGACGAATTTTTTTTTGCCAGAAGTTGCCACAATGTTTACACTGCAGTTGCCATAGGGCTTAAACTAAAGTTGCCATGTGGCAATTTTAGTTTGTAGATCATGACAATTTTAGTATTTTGATGATGGCAACCTCAGTACTTTGACCATGAAAATTATTTTTTGTATGAACCATGGCAATTTAACGTGCATGTATCATGGCAATTTTAGTTTGTGGTTCATGGCAAGTCTAGTTTCTTAATTCCCTGTTTTATAAATGTCAAAATTTACTTTTAAATGTGGAAGAAAATAGCTGAAACATATCTAGGCAACTTCAGTGTAAACATCATGGCAGTTCATATGCAATAGACATGGCAACTTTTAATCCAAAAAAATTTCATCAAAACATGTCAACATGGGATCTAGTTTCGAAGATCTCATCGCGAGGGATTTAATGGTGAAAACGGATTTTCAATTGGATTTTTCGTTTAAGAGATAAAACATTTTAAAAACTGGAAATCCAAAAAGATTCCAGCATGCATGCATGCGATGACGTGACAATCTGTTTACATTAGAGACGTGTGGTGCGTTTCTCTTCCTGCCACACGTATGGCAGTTAGCGCGACCCTTGTCTTTTACCATAGGGTTAGTGGTTGTTTGGTAGAGCTACTGTCGCGAGGCACGTGTCGCATCAGGTTTTTTTGGGTCGAATTTGTTCGGTGGCTGGAATTTGCTTCATAATAGTAGTACACGATTGTGTCCATCAAATGATGCAGAGAGCATGGGGTTATCCTTCCTTTCGAGAAAAATAGCAGACATCCGAGAGCATGTACGAGGATGCCCAGTTGTGATCAAGCTGTCATGGTTCCTCCCGAGGAAGTGTTTCAGCTATGTACTTTTTCCCAGAGGATAGGACAAGTTTTGGGTTGACAGATAATGCTCGTATCATATTTTACTAGTAAAAGAGCCCGTGTGTTGTACGGGAGGAAACAATACGACATGCCACTAACCCAATAATCATGACTCAAGACCCCAATAGATTCATGTCATTTATTTAACGAAAACTCTAACACCCACACATGTGGCAACATTGCAACTCGCCCACACGCCTGGATCACCGTCCAGTTAAGTTTGCACGAATCTTGACACGCCGAGATAGTTTTCGCGTGCCACGTAGGACAAGGCCGGTGTGTGGGCGTTGGAGAGGTCACCCACACGCCCCACAACACGAGGTCACCCACCACCTAGTCCACGCGTGTGTGGGCGAACTGCTTTTCGCCCACACGACAGTCGTACGTTGTTGGATGACAACTGCAGTTGCGCGTACATGGCAACTAGGTAAGCACACATGGCAACTATGATTCGTTTGCTAGACGGCAACTGCAGTTGCACGTAAGTGGCAATCAGGTAAACATACATGGCAACTGTGATTAACCACATGTGGCAACTAGGTAAACACACATGGCAAGTATTATTTGACCATATGTGGTAAGTAGTTAATCACACACGACAACTATGATTTGATTACATGCGGCAACTACCATAAATTGGATATGGCAACTATAGTTAACCAAAACAAAGAGAGTTGTCATGCTTTTACAACCATATTTGCCATCTCGAATAACTACCTCTGCCATTACGGATGGTACCTTTTGTAGTTGTGCCAGGACATGTGGGCATATTTGCTTCGTGCCAAACGCGCGGGATGGGGATGAGTAGTATTTATTGCGCGTGTGGCACGAAGTAGCTGCACCCACACGTGTGGACAATTCTACTGTTCGCCCACACATAGCCCGTGTGGGCGAATACCTATTATGTCTCACGTGTGGTGGATATCGGCGTCCTTATTTAAA